CAGGGCAGCACTGATAAATGATGTTTGCTCTTTACCCTCGAATTCAACGCAGCCTTTCTCCCATCCTGGCCTTGACTTTCAGGATGTGCTTAGAGGAAACAAGCTTGGCTAAACTGAGCAGCAGTACCTGTGCATTTTAAACGTCGTGATTATCTTGGAGCTATTTGAACAGACACCTAATTAATCATGCTACGCTAAAGGGAAGCACTTTACGGCAGGCTGCAGAATCCTAATATCTCAAGTTTTATGTTGACCCTGTAGAACTGTTCCTCTTTTTTTTTGGGAGGGGGGGGAAGGGGTGATCTTTAATAAGCAGATGCCCAGGAGTTGCTAATGGTGTGTTTGGGCACACTTTTCCTTATTTCCATTAAGCCTCACCGGTGGGAACCCATTCATGGTTCTTTAGGCAATTTCTGGTGTCTGGAGTTTATTTTGATTTTTTTCACAAGCTGTCAAGACACTCCTACCAGCCTGCCCTTCACCTTCTCGCTTCCCATTCATAGTCATGAGTTAAATCTGGACTCATGGATATTTAGGTTGGCTCGGCACAGATTTTGCACTTGTGTTTTGGGGGATAGCTACTCTGCTTACAGATTCATAAAACTAATATTCTTTGTCTTCAAAATGAATCTGGTTTCTGTTGAGAGTTTCTGTTGAGAGCTGTAGTGAGTAACAGATGCATACCCAAGAGGCAGCACAACTTTTGTATTCCGGTGACAGAAAACAGGTATTTGTAAGAATTGAATAAATGTATTCTGTGGCTCCAGCTTGGAGGCTCAGTAATCCATTTATTTTCCATGTTTTGTGTGCTCTCCAAAGGGTGTCTTGACTTTCTTGCCTCCTTTTTTTTTTTTTTTTTTTTTTTTTTTTTACTTAAATAAGAGTTTTCCATTAAATGGAGTTGTGTTAACACTAATCCGAATCTACGTAATGTTGATACCGGTGTGTTTTCTGCGGTTCAGGCCCTGGTATTAGCGGAGCGAGCAGTGTCTGGGGACGTCACACCTAACTTGATAATGATGGTTTTACCAAGCCCTTACCCTGGCCAGGCCCCTGGGCATTCTGCAGATAATTAAAAATTGGATCATAAAAAAATTTTAAACACAATGCACCTTAGCAATAAGATTTTTCTCCTTTGAAACATGATTTTCAAACTCATTTTACAAATACATCTCCTTGGCCTGGTGAATTTGCTTTCTTTTTTTCCCCCCCAAGGATTACAGAGAGTGCATAGCAAATTCAGCCTTCAGAATGCCCAGGAGCTGAAGACTCAAGAAAGCTACAGCTGTCTTCACCCACTGTATTCTGAAAGAACTAATGAGATGAGAAGTGTGCAGCTGGTGGCAAGCACAATAAACCATGAGCCAAGGGCTTCTCTTCATCAGAGCCTCCCTCCCCCATGGGACCCAGAGGAGACGGAATACTAACAAAGCCAGCAGGCTGTCTCATTCCACACTATTGCTCATTTGCAGCTATAATTGGTAGCTGAGGTTGCATGCTCTATGCGGAAACTGTCATACATGAAAGAATATATTTGTTTGTTGTGATAACGGATATAAATCGGCCAGTTTTCAAATAACAGAAAGACCAAACTAGATACCGGAGAATAAAATGCAGCAAATAAGATACTCTTCCAACAAATTAAAATGTTTGTTACGGAAATACCAAACTGGGGTTGTTCAAACTACACCTGCCTCCTGCTTTTGAATATCTTGCTACTTAATTCAGCTGATTAAGCATTTACGTGTTCGCGCTAACAAACAAAAAAAAAGCACCAAAAAATTCCCAAGTTTTGACAAGACGCATTATTCTCAACTGTCAAGGGGAAGGTGCTATTGTTAATAATTGGGTTTTGTTACATTTTCAGTGTATCTTTAATATCCGCTGCTTTATATTCCAGAGAAAAAAGCGGAGAGGGGGGAAAAGACAATGCTTTAGGGATATACGTATATGTAGTATTTTATATGCATACACTCATTTCTTGTAGGAACATTCACTTCGGTTTCTGATGCGGCTCCTTTTCTGTGTTTTTGAAATGTGCTTTTGCTTACCTGGCATTTGTGGACCCTCTTTGCCCCCCTCCTGTGTAGTGTCAGGATGCGCCCAGGACAGAGGCTAAGAATAAGAAGCCTTGTGTGGATCTCCTGGGTGAGCCATGTCATCTCCTTGTTGGACTGTTGCATCCTCACGTGTAAAGTGAGATTTATCTTCCGGGTTGATTTCCGCCGTATAATTCTGAGAGTCCGGATTGCAGAACAGCATCCAGTGAACGACCACTAAAAGTGAGGGCTCAAAAATACACTTTGTGGGGCAGTGTCTGAGTTAGGTCCAGAGGGAAGTTTTAAAGTGTTATTGCGTGTTCTTCAGTTAATTCATCCATGCCCGACGGGTGTGGGAAACCTGACGTCACCACCCAGGTGTGGAGCAGGGTTTAGGAAGGAGGGGGCATGTCCGAGAAGTCCCTGTCACCCATCCACTCACACTGTCCCCTTCCCTGGGGCCATAGTCATGCTGGCCACAATTTAGACCAATTTCACTTTTCTTAAGTTGGTTATTTCTTGGTTTATGTATATGTAGTATTTAGTGGGGTTTTTCCTTTAACCCCACTGACACTGTGTACGCTCTGTGCTGTGGATTTTGGGGTGCGTGTTTTTCTCTGTTGGAATGGACAAGTGTAGGATCCACAGAAGTACCGGTAATCCTGCAGCCTCCATTAACTTCATCGATTCTACAATTCCTTCCCCCTCATGTTTTATTATATTCAAATCAGGATTCGTCTTTCAGTTCTAGCATGTTTATTGGCTGAATGCTTTCCTTTTTAATGGAGCACCTCTCTGAAATTTAGGAAATGTGCTATTTGCTGTTCAACTCACATAAGGCTCTGTAACATTTTAGGTTTTGAAAGAAAAACAAAAATGTGAGCATGATGCCCACAGTGAGGTCACACTCAGTGAAAAGGAAAAAAGAAAGCATTTTCCTTCAAATGTAATGAAACACTAGCCAAGCCTCTGGCCATTGTACAGATAATTAAAATTTAAGCATAAATCATCTTAACACAATGCACCGTAGCAATACGAACTTTCTGCTTTTAAATGTAATTTAAAAAGTACATTTCCTTGGCTGGCGTCGGGTGCTTTCAGTTCTGACTAATTCTTCTGCATCCTCTGCTGGCAGCTGGCGGGTCCTCCCTGGCTTTCAGGTGCCTTTTCTTTGTTTGCCTCTCTGTCGTCCTCCCAGCTCCTCTCTGACCTGCTGGGAGCCAGAACCAGGCGCTGGCTCTCCTTACCCCTTGCTCTGCTTCTTAGCATCCTGCGCGCTACCTCCTCCCACGTGCTGGCTGATGAAGAAATAGACTTTGATGGAGGGAGATGATGTTAAAAGTGATCATTTGATAGGATGTTAAATGGGTTCGATTGTGGAGAAAAGGGTGCTTGTCTCTGGGTTTTAGTCCTAAGCCTCTGACCTAGAAGGCAGAGTCCTGTGGAGTTCCATGATTATCTATGTTAGCTCTGTGGTGAATCCGGGGCTTAGGAAACCAACCCTGTGCCACTGATTCTCTTCTCAGTCAGCGGTGAAGTTGTTCATTTTTAGGGTGTGGTTCTAAATAGGAGTCTCAGAATTCATGTTCGCTGACGGTACTTGAACTTCTGCTGATGTGCCCAGACACACGAAGTGACCCCAGTTGTCCGGCTCACCCCAGTTTGTCATTCCTAGGTAATGCTGGCTGACCCAATGCCTGCGGCTACCCCACATAGCATATTTTAAGCAACAAGACCCTGTGTGGCCTGCTCAGTTTGCTTGCGTAGTAATTTTAGCTGATTGTTGGGCCTTTTTATAGCTTCTTAGACAACCTTTAAACAGCTTTGAGGTCAGGGTCGTACATGTACCCAGCTATCTTTAAAGTGTTGGTTGTTTTTTTTTTTTTTTTACCTGAACCTCACATTTTTTTTCTTCCTCACATTTATAACTTTCTCTTTAGGAATTATGATGTCATAGGCACTTACTAAATAGCTGTTGAGTCTCGTTGTTGTTAATCCTCACCCGAAAATATTTTTTCATTGATTTTTAGAAAGAATGGAGGAGAAAAAGGTGGGTAGAGAGAAACATGGATGTGAGAGAAACTCACGGATTGGTTGCCCTGACCAGGAATCCACTGAGCTACACCCGCCAGGGCTAGCTTTTGAGTCTTGAATGGCTGCTTCTCAGCATGTTTTCATTGATTTGTGAAAGTTTGTGTTGCGCTTTGGAATATGTTCAGTGCTTATCTCTAGAACAACCATTTGTCATATTGACTTATCCGGGCACGTGTGAAGGACTTGGCTCCAGAGTTCTGCTTGAGACGGGAGGGCTCTTTCCTTGTAGTATTTTTAATTGACGACTCACTGCCATTATTACAACTCCTCTACACCTGAGCTTTAGCTCCTCAAAGGTAGTTTTTTATTTCTTCCTATAGATTGTGCGCTTATATGTGTGTGTTGACAACAGAACTTTTGTAAAGCAAACAGGTTTAAAAGGATTTTCTCTGTTCTATCGGGGAGAGTATATTAAGGAAAATCAAATTTACACACACTAGAGCCTTGCATAAAAAAAAGCTAAATGCTAGAGTCATCTTCTATGGGTATTGATAAAACTGGGATGGGCATGTTTTATTTCTTGAATGTGATTATACATATATCAAAATACTGGAACTATGGGAAAATATTAGAAGATTGGTTCTTGGAGATAGCTCTCCAATAAACCAGTAGACAGCTAGTCAAGACTTCTGTTAGCTTTTATGATGTAATTATTTTGCCTTAAGGTAAACGTTTAAAAACAGAGAGAACCAACATGAAAACTTAATGTCCTATAGAAGCGTTCTCCTACTTCCATTTTATACAGAAGCACAATAAGCCTAATGCGTTGCTGTCGTGTGTATCAGTAGCTGCAAAGCGCCGTTCTGACAAAGTGAAAGAATGTTCTCTGGTTTTCTTCTCCGCTTCTGACTCTGTTTTGCTTTGCAGGACTACAAAGCGGACGAAGACCCAGCATTGTTCCAGTCCGCCAAGACCAAGCGAGGCCCTCTGGGACCCAACTGGAAGGTACTGGATGCTGACCTTTCTGACAGGCAGAGTCTTGGCAGCAGAACGCTTGACAGGGCTCGAGTCTGGAGGAGCTGATGACGTTCGAGTGAAAAATAGAAATGGCACCAAAATAGTTTTATTTGCGATAAGGACTCACAGCCAGTTGCAGTTGGCCCGCAAGTCTGTGTTGCATTAACCAGCAGAACAGAGACAGGCTGTCACTTTTGGCAGAATGCTATTCTGATACCTCTTAGAAGAGACGAGTGAGTGAGTCGTTGGGGATTGTATTGTTCTCTTTTGAGACCTGAAGCAGTACAAAAAAATCCATGTGAAGTGGGCGTCTCTCGTTTAAATTTAGTCTGAGTAAAAACGGTACATGCTCCCTTCACCCAAGCTTATGCTCCTGGCCTTTTAATCGTTATATTTCGGAAAGCAGGGCACCAGAGAACAATGGCGATGGCAAGTCATTGCTTTCTAGTAAAGAGCATATCTTTATTTTATTCGGGGAAGAAAGAAAAGCAATGTCCAGGTAATCAGTTAAAGTGCTGTAGAAATATAATGCATTTTAGAGACGTTTGTTAAACTAAATGACAAACCTTTACAGAAGGTTTACTGTGTTGATGGCAAGTTATTATAGCTGTTTTGACAGGAGAAGAGGAGCTTAGCAACTTAAACCTGCCCCGAGCAGATTTTCCACCACCAGGATTTTACTTAGGAACGGATCTGTCTGGGTGCTAGTTGTTGCTTGCAGGGAGAGGATTAGTGTAACAGCCCCACAAGTAAGCCATGGCGTGGTTCTGCACAGGCATCAGGCTGTTTTGTAGAGTGTCTTGCATGTCAACTAAAATGAAGAATGAGTCTGACTTTCTTCACTAAGAAAATGATTCATAATTATCTTATTTTCACATTTGTTCTCTGGGTAGAGTTCAAGTCCAGATTCTCCCAGTTTAATGGCCATGACCAGAGACATTTAACTTAATATCCGGGAAGTGATATATGCCATTTCCAAATCAAGGGACAAATTCAGTGTGCATGATCTAAATTTACTCGAATGGGTTTTTAAAAAATCCCTACCCTTACCCGGATTTCTAGCTGGGCCTTCAGAGGAATCTTAAGCGATTTAACATTGGCCTTCTAAGAGAGAGTGCTGGGCTAGGCAGCAGGCAGTGGACAGCGTCTAAGGTTGCTGTGTCTTCTAGAAGACCATTTTGCTCCAATGAGTAATAACGCTCCAGTTGACAGGACTTTTATAGGGAACGAAGGGCACCGGTTGAGACTTAGAGGTGAATTAAATATCGAATTTTCTTCCAATTATCCATTTTTTAATGTAAACTTGAAAAGCATTGCTACATTACGTGGTCAGCTATTGTGTTTAGGCTCAAATGTTGGCTGCAGGGAACGCCTAACCCATTTTATTACAGGCACAACGATCGTTTGACACTATGACTTTACCTAATTTCCAAACTCTTAGGAACTTGGAGTACAATTTTTATTCCCTCTTTGTTTGCAATTTTTACCTTTGTAACTAGCACTGATTTGTCTTTATCAACTAAGACTATTTGAAATTCTAGAATAGCTTTAGTTTTTAGAAAATAAGTGAATTTTATTTACTTATTACTTTACGGAAATAGTTTCCGGTTGTAATATTGCAGTCTTTTTCCCCATTGTGTGTGCATATTTATTTAACAATAGCTTATTATTTCTCTGGCTGATTGTTATACCTTTCTACCCATTTGCCTGTTGGTTGTTAACTTTTGCCAAAGGATGGTGGATGTAGCTACTCTGATAAATCACGTTACTGCTTAACTGAATTTCAGTGAATTACCATGATTAGAAATAACTAGGGTAATCAAGATTGACTAATTAAACCATCTGTTTACTTCTGTGAGGGAAAAATAGAGCAAGAAGGATGACTAGCTGGTAATACAGTATAGAAAACTAGAAACCTCTGGTCTGGCTTGATCTTATCCATGCTCAGGGGCCCCTACTTGTCAATCAAAATACTCATCGTGGCGCTGAGGTAGCATGGGGAAGGGTGGCGGGTGGAGATACCTGCCTTCTGAGTATAAGAGGAGGGAAGGAATGCATGGGAGTTACAGCAAAAGGAAGAAGAAATCCCGTCTGGACCCCCTTCCCTAGGACTGAGTGCGAGAGGGCTTCTGGGTAATGCTGCCTGGTCGCTCACAGCTTTGAAGGCCTTTGATGCGCCTCAGTGGAGCCCCGCCTTACCAGCACAAACTCCAGAGGGCACTCACAGCCAGTGAAACCTCAGGATCCCTGAACACTTCCTCTTACTCATCCCACAGCCACGGCAGTATTTACCGCTTGTCTGCACCAGACTGGAAAAGGAACTTTTCCCTGGTGCCAGGCCCTGTACAAGGTCGTATTTAATCTCCACAGCCTTCCTGTGGGGTAGGGACAACTGCCTCGTTTCATAGATCGGAAACAGGCCAGGGAATCACGGGTGGTAGTTGTAGAAGAAACTTGATTCCGTGCTATCCACAGGGATGTGTGAGGTGTGAATAGGTAGCGAATTCTGATTCAATCCGGTGTTTCCAGATCACCAGTCTACACCTTGTATGCTCTGTCATATCATGGCTTTTCTGTATTCATGGTATTTGTCAGAATTTGGTAATTCCTGTTAATACCAGTTATGTGTTCCCAGTGTTCAGGGGATTTGTAGGTGACAATGGCGTTAGGGAGATCCATTAAAAACCCATTTAAGCCAAGACTGGTTTGGCTCAGTGGATAGAGCGTCGGCCTGCGGACTGAAAGGTACCAGGTTCGATTCTGGTCAGCGGCATGTGCCTTGGTTGCGGGCACATCCCCAGTAGGGGGTGTGCAAGAAGCAGCTGGTCGATCTTTTTAACTCTCTATCCCTCTCTAGTCCTCTCTGTAAAAAAATCAATATAATATATTTAAGAAAGAAAAGAATACAGGCCTTTTAATTTTATCCTAAATATGATGCATCCTTTTAATTTTCAAAAACTAAAAACTCAGAGTTGCAGGCTTTCATTGTGTATTCATTCTCCCTCTGAAAATAAGAGTGTCAAAAAATCTGAGCACATGAATTATATTTTGTTATTTAGGGTTTAACCCTCGGTGAAGTGAGACTGTGCATAGTAAAAGGAGAGCCGCTTGTAACCTGATAGAGATTTTTTGCTTCAGGCTGAATTGTGTGTTTCTGTGGATGCCAATGTCTTGCTTCTCTGTAGCACTTCACATGCATGTGTGTGCGTGTTTTGGTTTGTTTATGTTTGGGGGGCTCTGTGTGTGTTGTGGCGTTGGTATGACTACTTGTTCTGATGGTTTATGAAAAACAGTTTACATGTGGGTTCCTTTAGCTTTCCAGTTTGCGTCCTGATCTGGTGAGGAGGTGTCGTCTTAACAAATTGAAACACCACCTTTGAAGATTATGATGTCATTTTTATCCTATCGCGAGGCCTCGTTTCTTCCTTCATTTAATCCAGATGGCTCTGAAGACTTGAGCTTTGGAGTCTACATGTATATGATAGCTAAAAGCTAGGCGTATAAGGGTCTTTGCCAAAACTTCTAGCCCTTACAGCACTTGACATTTCTCAGAAGACTCAGCCAGTATCTGAATGTTGGGATATAGGGGATCAGGTCAAATAAAGAAGTTGATCCAGAAATATGTTTTTATTAATTTTTTTATTTTTATTTTTCGAAAGAGGGATAGAGAAATAGAAACGTCGATGAGAGAGGAACATCATCGATCAGCTGCCTCCTGCACAGTTCCTATTAGGGATCGAGCCCGCAACCTGAACATGTACCCAGTTTGGGAATCAAACTGGCCACGTCTGGGTTCCTGGGTTACTGCTTAGCCATTGAACCACACTGGCCTGGCATGACTTTTATCTTTATACAGGGTGGGCAGAAGTAGGTTTACAGCTGTGATATGGGAAAACAGAATTTATTGCATTATTTTTTACTGGTTATTGTAATCATAAAGGCATGTCCCACTTCTCTCCTGCATTAGTTAACTCCAGGCAGCAGCAGCCCTGGCAGTTGGGGCTTAGCATTTCAAAACCAGTTTGTCATGCTGTTTACCTGCTCAGTCACGCTTTAGACTCATAATTGCTGGAAAAGTCGTTCTGGATCCTCCCAGCAAGTGGAGGGCAGCCGTGTGTGTGGATTTTAGGAATGCTAATGTGTTTCCTGCCCTACTATCAGGACTGCTTTCTCTTCCTACCTGGTATCTGTATAAAGAAGGCAGTAGCCTTGGTTGTCAGTGACCCACAAGGTTCTATCGGCTGGTGATTGGTAGAATGAAATGGGAGGGGGCAGAGGAGAGAAGGTAAAACTTAGCTGTGGCGATCTGTTTGAGATTTGGACTAGCAGGAAAGCAGCCCAGAGAGTCCTCAAGAGGCTAATGAGCACTGCCCTTTACTGACAACCTCCCAAGGAACAAGACTGAGGGTGTTCTCCTGTGTCTTCATCTAGACAGGGCTGTGACTCCTAGGAAGGATGTGAAAGCATTTTAAATATATATATTTTTTTATTGACCATGAAAGCATTTTAAAAGATGTTCCCTCTCTGTAATCTACATTTGCAATCCTGTAGTGCGTGGTATAATGAAGTTTAATAATTAGTTTCTGATTATACCACATCATGGATTTTATATATATATACCATATTTTTCGGACCATAAGATGCTCCGGACCATAAGACGCACCAGTTTTTAGAGAAGGGAAATGAAGAAAAAAAGATTCTGAAACAAATAGTGTCCTAAAATATTTTATGTGCATTAAAACCCAACATCACAGTCATAAACACATGTAATAAACCCTGTAAAGTAAACAGCAGCATTTAGAACCATTTTAGAGCTGGGCAAGCACACAGAGACCACACAGAGCCAGGCAAGTAAAAAAACTTTTTTTTTAAAGTATATGTGTAGGCTATATTTGGACCATAAGACGCAGGGACTTTTTCCCCCCACTTCCGGGGAAAAAAAAGTGCGTCGTATGGTCCGAAAAATACGGGGTGTGTGTGTGTGTGTGTGTGTGTGTGTGTGTGTGTGTGTGTATATATAAAACTAGAGGCTTGGTGCACAAATTCGTGCATGGGTGGGGTCCTTAGGCCAATCAGGGCCACAGGAGGTTGGCTGATGGGGGGAGGAGGGGAATGAGGAGCTGCAAGAAGATGTCTGACCATCCCCACTGGGACACCTTGCCGGGGAGAGAGACCTCGGGAGGATGGCCAGCTGTGGGAGGAACTTATGTTTTCACTTGTACATAGTGTCACTCCCAGAGTCATTGGACACAAGCATGAAGCATGTCATCATTGTTATTAGTAAAATGGGTGTGAGCTCCAAAAACACTAAGTTTGGAAACATGGAAAATGGGCATGATTATCTTTGCACAGGCAGTACATTTCCTGCCCTAACTTCATTTTGCTTATTTTTGTGACATTAGTTGAACTTACAATCAGTTCAATCTTTTGAACTTGATCTCACGTTTACTTCTTCCGTTTCACGTTTCTCATTTGCCCAGACAGGTAGGGCCCTTGTACCTCTGAACCCTCGAGGGCCTTTGTGGATGACCTTCTCATGGCACTGGTGTGTCTGTGTCAGGGGAGGGGCTTAAGCTTTCCTCCGTCTCCCTCCCCCAGCCTCCTGTTTGTCCCACATTATTCACTGAATTGTCGGCCATAAGCTCTGTGTCTGACTTAGCTTGTCTAGCACAAATGTTTGCTCAGAGTGGATACTGATATTTACTAGATTTCAGGTAACTATTTTAAACCAAATAAAAATCAGATGTTGGACTTGCCATATACTTATTAATAGAATATATGTCCGGTGTAGGTCTGTCAAAATGACTAGCAAAATCTAAACAGAATTGAGGGAATGGCTGTGAGTCAGGGAGTCGGGTTTTGCTTGAAATCTCAGTACACACATTCCACATACATTCTATAATCTTGTGTTGATATTTACTGATGCGTGTACTGGCAACAGCCCCAGCAGATCATTTATTTTTAACGTGCTTAGTGAAATCTGGGTTGGAAAGTTACATTACCAAATCAGCAGCTGAAATTGAGCATTCAGACTCTCTTAAGTTGAGAAATTAAGATATGAAGCGACTGTGGGTCTTTCAGAAACTGCTGTGTTCTTGCAAAGCATCGCCTTTGGTTGAAGGTGGCATATACCTATTCCATCTTCATCCCAGTACATTTTAAATAAGAACGTGTGTACGCGGAGTTGGTATGCAGCACAAGACTGCGAGAGAGTATTTTTAGAAATTGAGTTTTCCGAATGCCTCCAGTTGTAGTTGTGTGGGGGTTTTTAAATTCTCCTACATTTGTGTATATTTGTTTGTCATAGATACAAGAAACTAGTTCTTGTGGTAACATGGGCTGATTGCTCACCATTCCAGTTAAACATGCCGGGTTTTGTTTAGTTACGTTGTGTGGCTTCGGTATACATTACTGACTCCCTTAGGCCTCCTCCGCATACCTCAGCGTAACCTAATATGTGTCGTTAAATTAAAACCATGATTTGAGTTTGGGGGCTTCATGTATAGTAAGAAATGTGAAATGCAAGGAATTCAGTGAACACACAAACTAAATACAATTAGGGGAACATTTCACAACTCTGTTACAGATGCAATTTAAATTACTATGTAGAGATGACTCATAATTTTGGGTTCTTCTATTATCCCCTGGTTTTCATTTTATAGAATTTCTGATTATTCTTGTCCTTTGGTAGCCAAGCCTATTTTACCTTTTATTTTCAATTATTCTTTAAAATTTTTATGCTTTAATCTATATAAACCTTGTGTTTATCAGCAAAATAATTCTATTTACTTGTAGATTAGGAGTGTTAATCCTGTTTTGCCTGCTTTGTGGTTATTTTTTTTTTTTTTTTTCAACTGATGAAGAGCAAAGATTCGGAAAACATATGTATTATTTAAGAAGCTTTGTCCTGTCCCCAAGCAAGTGAGCCTTCTTGAGGGAGCCCCTTTGGGTTCTATGGATCCTAGGACATTGCTCTGACTGGGGAAGGGCATCCCAAATATTTGTCCCATTAAGACTTTTCACATTTTAAAATGTATGCATTTCCCTCCCACAAGAATATTTCTGATAACTCCATTTCAGAAATATTTCAAAAACATATATATATATATGTTTTTGCTTTAGAAGTTTAAAATTAGGAAAAATTAAATCTGGGCTGGATCATAGACCTATAGTCTACCGATATCCAAATGGTGTTTCAGATGAAGGTTTTCAGTGACACTCATTGGGTTAGAGGGACCTCAGCACTCGCTCATTGCTTCTTGGAAAATGATCTCTGAAAGACTGGCTTTGTCATTATCTCAGGAAGGCTGGGCACTCAGAAGCTGTGTGCTGTGGAAGACACACAGGAGAACATGGGTCCTGCAGGCCATGGAGGGGTGGGCAGTTGCGGAGAAGTGGTTTGTGCCCGGGGCCAAAGCAGCCACAGCAGAAGGATGGCACCAAGAGTGGTGGTTTCATCATTGCTGTGAGCATAACTACCCTCCTCTCTGTCAGCCACTTCCGTTCCTCTGGCAATACCTAGCACAGATTGGGTTGTAAATGGCACCCACTTAACACTTAACTGGATTAAACTTGTTCATAAAGTATGCGGTGGGGGGGGGGGCATGCGCACATTTACCAAATTTTCACAGTGGTACTCTGTTTTATGGGAGCGAAATCGTGGAAAAATAGAGCTAAGCTCGCCAAGTTCCTCTGTTGACTAGAACGCACCTGGAAAAGGACAGTTTGCTGTATGTAAAAATGGTGTTACCCCATTGATTTAACTCATGGACCAGCTCATTATTCAAAAGGGAACTGTTACTGCAGAAGAGATTTTTCTGATAAAAGCTGATCAGTCATTCAGGACACTATAGGACACTGAGTTCTATTAATAATACCAAAGTAGAATTTTTTCTTATATCTTATCCTTAGAATTCACTTGAAACTGGAACATTATTGAGAGTGAAGGAGGGGACTATGGTCTGGTGCTATGATTCCACAAATGAAGAATAATCTTGAGGTTTTAGAATAAGACCTAGAAATTCATCATTTTTTTTTTTTAATTCATGTATATGTGGCTAAATAGAAAGAATATTTGTTCATACAACGAGCTTATTGAAAGCGGGGTGTGTGAGTGAGGTGAAATGACAGGAAGTGACAGTGGCACGCTGTGACTGATGCCGGCATTGTAGTGCCTTGAATGCTGTGTGAAGCTGAGAACAATGTAAGGAGGGGAGAGCCCTTGGAACAGGCTGCTCTATCTTTCACTCCATAATTTGGTTTTTATGAAAAGGGTCCCCATAGTGTTACACACAACTTCCTGCTCTTTTAAGAAGCTTTATTTAGTGTGTGTGTGTGTTTTTTTTTCTCCAAATTCCAAGTGGTAAATATGACTATGAAAGAACGAAGGAGCGAGAGAGAGCTAGCATGTATTATGCCCTTGAGTTCCACCAGCTAAGCATGGCCCTGGTAAAACTGCCTTAGTTAGATTTGAGATGCAGCTTTCACCTTGTAAGTACACCGCATTGCAGCTTAGAGTTTACACTGGCCCTTTCCCTAGCCAGTGGTCGGCAAACTCATTAGTCCACAGAGCCAAACATCAACAGTGCAACGATTAAAATTTCTTTGGAGAGCCACATTTTTTAAACTTAAACTTCTTCAAAATAGACTCGCCCAGGCCGTGGTATTTTGTGGAAGAGCCACACTCAAGGGGCCAAAGAGCTGCATGTGGCTCGTGAGCCACGGTTTGCCCACCACTGCCCTAGACTGTACCTGCAGCCCCGCTCTGCCATCTGTGATTCTTTGATAAGAACCTGCCTTTTGCCCTAAACTGAGCTCTGCGGGTAAGACCAGCTCTGCATCTGCTCGCTGCTGTGAGCCCAGTGCAGGCTCTCTTCCGGCTCAGCTCAGGAGTCTTCTGGTCTTTTGTACACACCACCCTGGAAGCTGTGTGCTCCTGGCTCAACCCCGCAGTCACCTGCTGTCTGGATCCTAAGGCAGAGGCTGCCCTGAGCGCGACAGAAATGGCCAGGAAGACCATGGACTGCAGTCGCCTTGCCCAGTTTCTATAACCAAAACTTCAGCATTAGCCAGAAAGCCGGAAGAAGACAGCGAACACCTCCACGTACATACATGCAGCAGCTGTTGACACTTTGCATATTTCTTTTCCCCTCTTCTATATATATATATATATATAGAGAGAGAGAGAGAGAGAGAGAGAGAGAGAGAGAGAGAGAGAGAGAGAGAGAGAGAGAGAGAGAGAGAGATGTATACCTGTGTGTGTGTGTGTGTGTGTGTATTCTCTCCCCCCCCCCTTTTTTTTTTTTTACCATAACAACTCTTGATTTGATTCCCTGACCTCACCATCTAAACTATCAGGTGTAATCATTTGTGGATATTAAAGTCCGGATGCTTGGGATTTGCCCTGGAAGACTCGATGCAGATCGGTTTTGCTGCAGCATCCCTTTGCATACCCCCTCCACTGAGAACTCCTCACTTAACAAAACCCAGCCCCCCACGTGCCAGTGTGTGAAGACGCAGAAGACGGCTAACCTCATGGCTTCTTCCTGTGCCGCAGCGCATTCGCGGTGGGAGCACGCTAATGGCTTTACGGGAGCACTTACGTGTTGAAGGCTCACTGTGGGTGCGATGTGAATAGAATTCGGTGTTTAATATGAAATCTGAATAGTGTAATCGGAGACAGAGCAATGCGCCTATTAAACTGTGGAGTCAGGAAGTAACTTCGTTGGTGGAAGGATGGTCGCAGCGGGGGAATTCTGCTGCTTTTCCTAAAAAGATTTCAAATATCCAAATACCGAAGTTAAACACACATATGAGATTATCATTTTCTTCATGCATATCTGTGGTGTCATTACACAGCTGTCAGTTTTAATCAAAACATAAACATCGAAGTCACGATTTCTCCTTTTCAATGTCCCTCATCTAGAAGGAGCTGGCAAACAACCCCGACTGCCCTCAGATGTGTGCCTATAAGCTGGTGACCATCAAGTTCAAGTGGTGGGGGCTGCAGAGCAAAGTAGAAAACTTCATCCAGAAGGTAAAGTCTGCTAAGAATGCAGTGACTTACATGCAGCTTAGGATTTGAGGAAGCTGTTCCTGGGATATTTTCTCTGTTACCACTTCTTTTTTCTCGGGAGGTAAAAATTACTGTTCCTGTATCAAATCCTTGCCCTTCTTTCCTCCCTAGAAACGGCCCGGACAGATGCCAGCAGAGGTTTTCAGGGGCTTTCTCTAGCCAAGATTAGCATTAAAAAAATAATAATAATAAAATAAAATAAAAATAAAAATAATAATAAAAAAATATTATTTCAGAGAGGAAGGAGAGGCAGAGAAACATCAGTGATGAGAGAGAATCATTGATCTGCTGCCTCCTGCATGCCCCACAGTGGGGGTTGAACCTGCAACCCAGGCATGTGGCCTTGACTGGAATTGAACCCGGGACCCTTCAGTCCACAGGCTGACGCTCTATCCACTGAGCCAAACCGGTGGGGCAAAACTAGAACATTTTTTGTTCAAAGTGCTTTCCTGATGGTTCGCCCCGCTCTTCTGTAGAGAGCCTTGGCCACATACAGCATGGCCCCGAGGGGCACGGGGTCTCAGCATTGGCTGGAGGGAGGGGCCAGGCCTCACCCGGTGAGGTGCTCCTTGTCCCAGCTCAGCTCGATGTCCCCCCCCTCCCCCAGATCTCTCCCCACATTCACATACATGTGTGCTTTTCACTTCTTTGTAGCATGTCTCCTTTTGGGGTCTTCGCTAAGAATAGTTACACTCTGAGCCTAGGGTAACATAATCTGAGGATCCAAATTCTAATCACCTTTTTGATGACTTCTTTGTTAAAGTGGAAGCTGCAGGGACAATTGAGCTAGCATGAGGAGAGAACCACAGTTGTATAAAAACAGACACGGCTGCAAGCACAGAAGGAATATGAAAGTTTTTGGTATTTGCTTTTCCTAAAGGGTGAATGTGTACCCATTATCATTATTCAAAAGCCCCTTTTGTATCTTACTTTTAAACTGTAACTGCTCTAACGCTTTAAAAAAAGCATCTTAAAGTCTGGAAACTGATGATTCTTGGGCCTGCTTACAGTTGGCCCACAGGCGGCACTCTGTAAATATTGGCTTCCTTCTTTCCTCTTGGATCATAGTAATAGATTAGCAATCTAGTTCTGATAAATAGAAGTCACACGTATAATTGATGGAGTCCCTTCTGTTCATGGGAAAATTGTAAAAGTTGAAGGCTGTCCAAAAATAGTAAAGTACTCACTTTTCAGTACACTTTTCTCTCTCCTTGGAAAAGTTTAATAAAACTTAAATAATCCAGCAACTAAAATCACTAGTTATATATATGGTTTATTTATATATGCACTATACATATATATATGCAGTAACATTAGAGTAGAAAAATTAATGGAGAGTTTGTAATAATTCTTAAACCGAATCAAACATCTTATTCCAAGAACCCAGGTCTCCTCTCTCAGGGTGTTATTGTATTCTACCTCACAGTAGTCCTTTGAATTACAAAAAAGTTAGAAATTTGAGTTGACCTTGTGGTGATTGACATTTAGAAAAGGTAATAATAAATCGGGCCCAGCAGGAGTTTATGCAGGATTAGCATGTACTCATCACATTTACTATTTTTTTCAGTTTCTCATAAATCGTACTTCCTTTGCAAGGAGAGACTGTTTCATATTTCACAAGGAAATCTTTATTTTGTCTTACAAAATGGTCATGGTATGAAATGAAGAATTTCACCAATCGACATAGTAGTCTTTTCAAACCAAGCGTGTACAGATTTCATGTGTTAACTGGGACATATAAAGTTCATGTGTCATTAATGTCAGAGTGTTACCATCTTACGCTACTCTTTCTTCTTTGTTTTAAAAGCAAGAAAAAAGGATATTTACAAACTTTCATCGCCAGCTTTTCTGTTGGATTGACAAGTGGATTGATCTGACGATGGAAGATATTAGGCGAATGGAAGATGAGACCCAGAAAGAATTAGAAACAGTAAGACCTCCTGTTTTGTGGAAATTCCCTAATTTTCCTTTCCAGTACTGTGTGTGTGCTTAGTAAGTATAGACTTAGAATTAAGAAGAGTACCGTTAGAAGCCATTCCTTAATCTGTGTGTCCTTGTCAAAATCAAGTTTTGCAGACACTAACATCTCTTCACATGTTCTGATTTCTCTTTTGTTGATCTTTTCATAGAAGTAGACGAGAGCTTTCTTGATTTAGAGTGTTACCAGTAAGGTGTCCAGTTGTTTGTAAACTCTTTTTTATTCATCAGTTCTCTTTGATGATGTCAGGTTCGCAGTCCTAGGAGACCCACTTTATCAGGCCAAGTTGCCTTTGGCTCATCTTGCTATCACAGTAAGTTACTAATGTTAGCACAGGAAGTCCTAGTTACCTCTCCTGTAGAAAAGACAGGAGGAGTGGTTTTATCACTCATTCCAGAAAAGCTGCCTCCCCTCCCACACCTCGCAAAGAATCATTTCTTTTTAAGCTTTAGGCAGAAATACTGGTGATCCTTGGCCTGAAGGTCAGCCTGCCACTTTTCAAACTTAAAACCCACTCACCTCACCAGTGAGCAGGCCCTTGAGTGCCTGAGCACCCCATTCCCCCCCCAGACCGGTTCTTCCCGACTTCCTCTTCTCTCACACGTCTGCTTTTGCTTTTACTCTGAGCTGCACTTCTTTTCAGTTGAAAGTCAGGCCCCGTGGGGGACGTGAGCCCCAGGAATGTCCAGGGTAGGCTAGTGGTTTCCATGCAGTCACCCCGAGTCCTGCCAGCAGCCTTCGTTTTGGAAGCCCTGCAGGCGGGCGTGTTTGACAAATGCCTGCGTGTGAGGCAGGAACTCCAGTTAATCACTCGAGAGTGGCAGCAAATCAGGTTCGTTGGCACGGAAAGAAATCTATTTGTCTGGCACGGAGCATCGTGAAGAATCTGTTTAAAATTGCTTACTTTGGGTGATTACGGCAGATCTGCTTCTAATTAGCTTTATACAAACCTTCTGAAGGGACTGGGGCATACTTTCTTTATAAGGCAATAAATGTTATAACCTTATCTTATACATGAAGTAAACGTCAGGCAGTCTCCAGCTTATGAATGGGTTTTGTTCCAAAAGTTTTTAAGTTGATTTTTTTTTGAAATTTGGAACGTGATTTCCCATAGAGAAAACAATGTAAATTGGGGTTCGGTTTCCAGGCCAGACCATGGAAGCCTCGTTGACATCAGTTTCTCCTACTCCTCGTCTGACTCCTGAGTTCTGGCTCTCAGGAATGGGGTGATCGAATGGCGAGCGTGGAAGAGTCTCGCTTACCCCCTTCTTTTTAGGGTGGCCCAGTCAAAATACTTAAACAGGCAAGAGTAAGTCAGGGTATGTCCTGTCCTTCCCATGCCTCTCACCTACTTCACCCACTTCTGTCTTCCCTGACTCAGGAGTCAGGTGCCCTTCAGTCACCCACCACCACCACCACCACCACCACCACCATCACCACCACCATCACCATCACCACCACCACCACCACCACCACCACCACCACCACCACCACCACCGCCGCTGCTCCTTTGAGTCCTTCTCTGCTGCCTTGCCTAGTTTCACTCCCTCCAGGAGTGCAGGCCCCAGCGATACCTGCTGGCTCTTCCTCAGCCCTCGTGAGCAGCTGCTGTCGGCCGAACATTCAAAAGAAAGCAGCATGGTACCCTCATTCTCACTTACACTCCTGGTTCAGCTTTGGCATTTACCAACACCACGACAGAACTGAAAGCAGACTTTTTATGGGTTTGAACTCTCAGAAGAGGCTTTTTGTGTGTTGATTTCTATGTTGGGGAGCTGACCGCAGCATGAGGAAGAGCGCTCACAGTTGCAGGGAACATGGCTGAGACCTCTTCTTCCCCCAGGGGGGTCCTCCTCTTCCCTCCCAAGCCCTCAGTCTCCTGATACCTGAGCACAGAACAGCCCCAAAGTTAACACGATGAGAGCCCTGACAAGGAGGTGCAAACTCGCTCCCGCCCATGGCAGGGGCCTGCAGACTCTGCCACTGCTCCCTGCAAGGCTGACATTTGTGAGTTGGCAATGACACTTGGAAAAGGAGGTGTCAGACAGGCAAGTAGCTTCACAGAAGCCCAAGTTATTAGAAGCTGTCATCATTATCGCACCCACGTGACTCAACCTAACTCCCCCAAGAAGTTGGTAGGAATCTATCATTGGTTCAGGGTTGGCGGTACCTATTTCAACAGCATCTTAAGGCAAATTTCAGATTAAGTGCTGACCATCTTAACATACAACCTCACTTCAGTTATTCTGTTCAAGTCATTGGGTGGAGTGCTCCATTGCACATCTAATAGCTGATTCGTGAGCATCTTCAGAGTGGGCAGCATCATGCCTCTAGGCCCACCCAGAATGCACTGCGTCCTGAAGAGGCTTAAGGCTTGCAAGTCCTCTTCACCGCGGAGGAATGTCCCTTTTCCTGAGGTCCCGTTTCTCTGAGACTGGATGACAGAACTGGATACATTGGACTGCCCTTCTTAATTCTGAAATATTTTAAGAATTGCATTTTTTCACATGGCTTTCGGCCCTGGAGAGAAGGAATAACATCCTGAGAGGTTAGGCATGAGAGGGATGCCACTGCCCAGGATCCTGTAAATGCCGGGTTTAGGCAAAGCAACCAGAGAATCCTTTGAGCAAACCTTTTGCGTTTATTCTCAACTCGCACTTCTGTGGGGTGGAAGGAGGAGAAGGTTGAGGTTTAGAAGTGTATGTATTGTATTTATTCCTTTTCTGTTCTTTCTTCTCCTTCATTTTCACAGTGAGGTTTTTACTTGTCTATAGATTGTTATGAATTTCTGTCCTTTCTGATTCATCCCTGTGTCGTCTGTCCTTCATTGTTTCTCACGCCTTGTTCCTGTGCTCGCTTGTCCTTCCTTCCCACTTTCCTGTTTTCAAGAAACTTCCTTCAAAGAACTTCTCGGAGGGACGTTGGTCTCAGAAGCCACGGAGGTGGCCGTTCCCCATGGCTTCCTGTCTGGTCCAAGGACTATAGAAGGATGAGCCAGACCATCCGGGCATTTTCTCATATCGGTGAACGGTTTATTGATCCTTGGCTGTCTTTGATGATGTTACATCATCACTCTACATACTTGTTTCCTAGATTCAAGCATAGGTACACATTTTTTTATGCTGTGAAAAAAAAAAAAATCCTTTTGAAACATTTTCTTTAGACCAAGAGTACGAAAAGGACCTCAGAACCTCATTCTCTATGTGGGAATGGCTATAAACAGGCAGTGGTCCCTTCACCATCTCTTCTAGCTCTTTTTTCCTCCCTTTGCCTGACTAACCCAATACAGAATCTATGATTTCAGCAGCTCATGCTTTTATTTTACGTTTAGATGCGTAAGAAGGGTTCCGTCCGAGGCACGTCGGCTGCTGATGTCTAGATGAGTCCCCTGTAGGGTCAGAGACAATATCACACTGTGTAAGTGAAGACCTGGGTAAAAAGGATATTTGAAAACCAATACCTTTTTAATAATGAGTAGTTAACTCTCACAGAGAGGCTGAGTGTTAAATATGGTTTACATTTTGGAATATAAGCGATTATATTTTAGAAATTGACGGTAAACACTCTTCTTTAAAAATGGAACAGGTTGGATTTAGTAATTTCTAACTACTTCTTACTGTTACTGGGTTAGAAACCAGCTGTCGATGGCCAGTTAATAGATGTATTTCTAAATGGGACCTTTTGTGGTTAGTAAGGAAATATTTTAAAGCATTTTAAGCCAAAGACCTTTTATTCCATACCATAAGGGCCAACCTCAATAATTCATTTTAGTTGAATTTTTTTTTTTCCTGAACACCAGAAAGTCATCTTTATGTTGACCCTTCTTTAGTTGTTTTCATAGTTGGCTTTTTACTTTAGCTTTTATTCACAGTATAAAACATGTCTATGGTTTTATTCCTCTCACACAAATTTATTTGCTTAAATTGGAGATTTTTCTAGAGGGGATACAAGAGCCTCAGAATCTACCAGTATTGAGGCCAGTGTGAGGAAACAAAAGCTGACAGTACACTGTTGACATCTGTTAACATTGAACTGCGGTGTTTATTGAGGAAAAGCACAAGACAGAACATTCTTGTCACTCCATGTAGTTCGTTGCTGCCCTTACATGTAATACCCACTCTATGTTATAGAACATGGGAGACCTGACGTGTTGGGTAGTGAAAAGAAGTAGTTGCCCCAAACCCTGCCAGGATCCCTCCCAAGCCCTTTCTTTAAATTCAGTGTTTCATTTAAAAAAAATTCAACTTATTATTTTTTGTTAAGTTCTTTTAAGTTTCTTTTTTAAAAAATATATTGATTTTTATACAGAGAGGAAGGGAGAGAGATAGGGAGTTAGAAACATCGATGAGAGAGTCATCGATCAGCTGCCTCTTGCACACCCCCTACTGGGGATGTGCCCGCAACCAAGGTCCATGCCCTTGACCGGAATCGAACCCGGGACCCTTCAGTCCCCAAGCCGACGCTCTATCCATTGAGCCAAACCGGTCCCGGCGAGTTCTAAGTTTCTGTGATTTGTATTCGCTTCTCATTTACTTTCCCTCCAATGAAACAAAATGTTATGCTATCAGTACTAGTAAGACCAAAAATCTTCAAGAGGTTAAATTTTTTAAATGCAGTAGTTGGGGTCCATTTTCTGTCAAAAGTTTTAATACATTGAAGGTTTTGTTTGTTTGTTTGTTTGTTTGTTTTCAGGAGAATGTGTGCAACAAGCTGTAGTCTAACGTTGTTGCGTCTCTCTGGATATTAACACCTTGCCCTTCTCTCATTTCCCTTGCAGTTACGTAACCAAGGTCAAGTGAGGGGCACAAGTGCGGCCAGTGATGAGTGAAGAAGAATCTGACCAGGATCTCACAGTGTTGGCGTTTCCCAGCCACGTGCTTGTGACTGTGTGCTCACATGCACAGCTTCCCAACCACGTGTATATATATGTTTGTGTGTGTATGTCTGTAGCTGTATATAAAACGCATGTAGAGCTACAGATCGGAATACACACACTTGTGTATATATGTACATAGAAACATACTGAAGGGATTATTAGTACAATTTCTCCAAAGTACTGTACCTATCTTCAGCAAGAATGCAAAAGAAAATATTTTCAATATATATATATATACACCTGGAACAGATTTTAATAATCAGAGTAATACCATTAATGGACAAATTGACTGCAGTGTAATACTAGCTGGTATGTTTCATAAATGTCAAGTTGTGGACCAATAAACATATATATATATATATATATATATATATATATATATACACACACACACACACACACACACACACACACATAAATATATGTGTAAATATATATAGCCTTTTATTACTTTTCTGTTTTTAAATCAGTCTCTTAAAATTTTTATTTTATTCTCATAAGCATCAGACTCCCATGAAAAAATTTACTCAAAAATCTGTTGGTATTCCAGTGAATGTGGATTATAAATGCCGAATGTATATATAACAATTTATTTCTGGATGGTCATTATCTCACAGCCAAATTGGACAGTATCTGTTAAGTAAGGAGTGAAGTTATAGACCAGTTTTTACTTGTTTGCCCTGAGGGACAAAATTCTTTTAAAAGAAAAAAAAAAAAAAATCCAGTTTTTATTGGATTTTTGTATTTTAAATTTCAAGTATTTTTCTACATCAGACATAGCAAAAAAAAAACAAAAAACGGAGATAATGGTTTGTGATGTATAATATAATAAACACTATACAATCGTCAGGCCTCCTGTTAGGCAAACAGAGAAATGGATGAAGAGATTAATAGCATTGTAGGCTGTTTAGAAAAATGGGGAGTGCACTACTCCCGCCGAGTCTTTTTTTGGAAAAGACTGTTTTCTGAAATTACTGCTTGGAAACTATGCAAATGAGCTCGAGTCCTCACAGCTTACACGATCGAGTCTAGATTGCGATGGTGTTTTTGCTCTTTTCATGTTGAAACACTTTAAGGAGGAGATGCTGACTTGGAAATAGGAAGAATTTAAGAGGCGGCTCAGTGAGGTCTGCCTGCACACGGTTAGGAGGCCCTGCTGAGGGGCCAGCCCCCCCCCCCCCCCGCCGCCCCCCCCCCCCCCCCCAAGTACAATGTCATTGGTACATACCCCGAACACGCATCATGGACATGCTGGTTAGAAGTGGCTGCCGCCTTTTTGTTTTAAAGAAAGGAAGGACAGCCAGGTATGAATTTATCAGCTTTCTTTGTCCGAATCGCGTTTCTCTCCCGCCAGTCAGTCCTGGAAGCTTGAATAGGATGAAATGGTTGAAGCCTTCAGGTTACAAACTGTCTTCTCTCACCTCCCGTCCCTCCCGCCACACGCCAGCCCCTGTAGTCACATCACATTAGTAGTCTGACTTGCTGACAGCCCTGCCCCCCAGTCCTCACCGCTCTTCCCCACGTGCCCCGTGTCCCCCCCCGAAGCGACCGTGGTGACTCCGGGATGTCCTGTGCATCGGGACAGCCGTGATCCTCAGCCCCAGGCCCCACCCGGCGACGTCCTCTGTGTACTCAGGATCAAGACCGATGTTTACTCTCCGAGCACTGTTGTGAGATAGGTTCTGTCATCGCGCAATCATCGTCTGCAGAGCGCCGGATGCGAGGAAGATCATTGCTAATTTCGAGAAATAAACAGTCTCGCCCTCTCCTCTTAATGAACTTAACTCTCGCTGGCATCTGTGGCACTTGGAAATGAGCACCCGGCGCGCGGGTTTTAATGTTTTTCTAACAACTGTGGAGATTTGAGGGAATGTGCGGTGAATGTAAAATATCTAGTTTACTTGGCAGTCTCTTGTGTAAATTACAGTAAAACAAAGTAAATGAAATTTAAACAAAAAATAAATTTGATCACAAAACGCCACTTGTGTGCCTGAGTGGTGGTTTCCCTGATGCCATGTCTGCTTCCGAACACTGCAGGCCGCTCCTCGGCTCTTTTCAGAAATCCTCTCGTCTGCAGCACTGCCCTCTGGGAAAAATAAAGGAAAAAAAGGGTATGTGTGTGTGTGATTGCAAACTCCTGTTCTTGAAACCCGCCTTTGCCACATTAAGTTGTTACATTTGGCTTAAATAATTTGCTGTCTGTAAAAGCTAAGCAGTAAACTAAAGAAGGATTATTATTAGTCTCAGAGGTTTTTTAAAAATTATTTTTAGCCCTAGCCGGTTTGGCTCAGTGGATAGAGCCTCAGCCTGCAGACTTAAGGGCTTCAAGTTCGATTCCAGTCAAGGGCACATGCTGGGATATGGCTCCATCTCCAGTAAGGGGTGTGCAGGAGGCAGCTGGTCAGTGATTCTCATCATGGATATCTCTTCCATCTCTGAAATCAATTAAAAAAATATATATGTGTGTATATATACACACACTATTTTAAAAAAAATAATATTTAAAGGGGAAAATACAGAATGCCCACAGTATTTTTAAAAGCACTCAGTAAGGAATGTGCTTGGTTTTACCTTTCCTCTTTTAGGACTTGGCAAGGCCTGCTGTGTGGGGACATGTCGTATTTTCCGGCGTATAAGACGACCCCCTAATTTTACAGTTAAAACACAGGTTTATGCCTATATTCGCTGTATAAGACTACCCCCCACTTCAAAGAAAAGACTTACTTTGCCGTCAAGATCTGCAGGTAATTTTTGTGCAATTTTGGTCTTTTGCCCCCGATTTTCGGTTGACTCTTTCGTTTCCAAAAGTCGTCTTATACGCCGGAAAATAACGTATAACCATCATTTTCTCATGGTTCCAGCTTACCTCCTAGAGTTGTTCAACCTTGGGCGCGGTGGCCAGCCACGTGGAAGTATTGAAGGTAGAATGTTACGTTTCCGGGGTGTTCTTTGGTTCGCTTTCCGAGGTGATTTTCTCAGCGCTGTGTTTCAGGCAGGGCTTGCGTCCGTACTGGCAGTCTGTCCGTGCATTCGGCAATCTGACACGTGCACAGTCCAGTGTGGGAGGCAGCCACGGGGACCGCTGAGTTACCCTTCTGTGTCCTGTAACAGCACAGAGGCCTCTGACGTCACTCACACTGTCCAGATGAGGGAGCAGACGTCCAGGCCAAAGACAGCTGGGATAGGTGAGGGCCTGGGGGTCAGCACCCCCCTCCGGGCCCCCTCTCTGAGTCCCGGACTTCCTGTGTGTCCGTGGCAGCCATCACGTCCAGCTGTGGAGGGTTCAGGGTCAGCTGAGACAGTACACCCCCTGCCAGATGGTACACCCTCTGCCGTGTCATCTCCATTTACCGAACTGCTTCCTGGTTGAAGTACAATCACTGTGGACCTAACACCTGGCTTTTGGAAAGCTCACCTCTCGCCCTTCTTGAACTTGCTGAGCTGTAAGGTTCGCAGCTCCGCCTCCTCCTCAGATCTGGTCCCTGAGGAGGTAGGAGACATGACCAGGTGATGCGCCCATCTCTCAGCAGCTGAGCTGACAAGGGGCCGGGATGGCATTCCCTGCTCTTCCCCACTTGGTACCATTGAGTGCCACTGTGTTACGAGATGGAGTTCAGTGGACACCAATCCAGTTTTTCGTGTTACCGGCAATTATAGAGTTTGGGACTTCACATGACGGGGGGTGGGGGGGTGGGGGGTAGTGACGGGACTGGAGCAGCTACAGCCGGTAGAGTGCTTCCCAGGAGCCCTCTTGGGGTTATGCTCTCTGACTTGGGAAAATATTAAGCATCACCAGGTCCCTTCAAAACCATTTCTTCCACCGGCTTGGATTGGGGGAAGCAGAAATGGCAGATATTCTCAAGCCGCCTCTCACAAGCAGTGTGGGACAGGGTGAGGGCCGCATGGCTTTTTTTTTTTTTCTTTCCCCTTTTTGAGAGTGCTGTGTTCAAGACATCTTGGCTTGTTTAAAAGGGATTCAGAACTCATGGCTCCCCCCACTCCTTCAAGATGGCTTGCACTCCCTGGAGGGCAGAGGGGTTGCATGGGGACCCGCTGCTTCCTCGTGCACTTCTCTTTTTCGGAGTTAAATCGTGTCCTTACTCTGGCCAGGCTGTCCTTGTCCCAGACTGACATGTGGGCTCCCCTCTCTTGAGGGTTTATTCCGTTACGCTAGGGCTACTGACTTGAGAAACTTCAGCGATTGTCAACCAGAGAGGGTCTGGGCCCCGGCTGCCCCTTAGAGTCATGTGGGGAGGAGCCTTTAAAAAAAAAAATAAGCTGCCCCACCCATTACCTTCCCGTAGCTCGGGTTCTGTGCCCTGTTTTCAAAGGACAGGCAGGCGAGGGGAGCTAAGCATTCCCCTCTTCCTGGAAGATCAGCGAGGACACTGCTTTCTCACCAAGTAACCCGATTTCTCCCCATGCTTCAAAGCCAAGCGCCGCTCACTCTCCAGGCCTTCCGGGCCGCCTGCCTTCACCTGGGGCGACCTCGGTGGAGTCCGCAGACGGGGCTGGCTAGCTGGACTCCTCACGTGGCTCTTGCAGATGCGGGCTGCCGTGGTTAAGAGGTCATCTTTCATGTGCGTGTTCTGCATCCCTGAGCCAGCTTGGGAACTCCTGGACGGGGGGTCACCGTGACCCCCACAGCCACCTGGATGTTTGGCTCTGAGACTGCCTTTTGCCCACAGGAGGGACCTGCCTAGCCCTCCGGGAGGCCGCTTTTGAGTCTAGGCGAGAGGGAAGTATCACCAACAAGCCAAGATCTGATTTCTGGCCTCAGACTCTTGAAGCCTGACTACTAGCTGCCGCAGGAGGTAGTCCACCGGGTAGGGAATAAAAGTGTGATGAGACAGAGGAGGGAGCTCCAAGCCCGTGTTTCCTCCCCACTTTCCAGACATCCAGCCCGGAGCTTCCGTAGACTTCAAACTATGCTCTCCGTCTCTCCTCCTTTTCCCGAACGCACTGTCTGCTCACGGAGTCTCACAAGCGCCCCCAGAAGCTTTTTCTTTGGATGTAGTCCCGTTTGTTTATTTTTTATTTTTTCCCCTTTGTTTCCCAGGCCCGAGGAGGTGGCTACATGAGATGTCTGAGATGTTTGCCGCCTACGGCTTCTCCTAGGCTCTTTATGGCCTGGTGACTTGCATTTCAGTGCTTTATCCATCTGGAGTTTATTCTTGTGGGTGGTGTAAGTTGGTGGTCTACTTTCACTTTTTAAGATCTGGAAACTGCCCATGTGTATCAGGAGACGAGTGGATAAAGGAGGTGTGGTACATGCACCCCATGGAATACTATGCAGCTGTAAGAAAACAAAGAAGGATCTCTTACCCTTTGAGTCAGCAGGGAGGACCCTCGAGAGGATTTCGCTAAGCGAAATAAGCCAGTCCGAGGAAAACGAGTATCACATGATCTCACGTATATGGGGAATCTAATTAACGAAACAAACGGACAGA